TGCAGGGGAAAAAAGAGTGCTAAATTATTGCATAATTAAACTTCCCTGATTATTATTCCCCTCTGAGACCTAATTGCCGACGTATCGCAGTTTATGACCTTTCATTTGATCCCAAATTCAGAATTTTTGACGCATTTTTTTGGCCGTAATTAGTAATTCCGTAAAACAGAATTTTCTCCTCGAAACCTAGGGAATTCTAGGGGAAAAAACTCACTAGATCTCGAGAAGGCCGGGCCTTAAACCGTTTATTTATAAACGCTAAATTTCTTCTCAATAAACACCTACCTGAGGAATGTAAATATTAATATTGACATTAATATTTATTCATTTACAAATGATAACTGCAAAATCTCGATTTCATCGTAGATAATAACTTTTGTTCATTTCTCAATTTCTCAATTTCTCAATTTTTAATTTTAGTTTAAGTCAATCAATAATAAACAAATTCGTATCATCTATTAACTTTGATTCTATTGTCATATGATTGTATCACAATTTTATTTTCTAGGAAGGAGTTGAGGCTTTCAATTCAACGAGAATTTCAATGAACTCAACAGGATATGAAAACAAAACTGAAAAGAAGCTGATTCTCATTTGGAAATATGGTTTAACCCTAGAAGATCGTCACATCCACCATTTTAATGCTTTGAAGAGGTGAACACTTTTAAATTAGAGAATGCTACAATTATTCCAATCTTCATTTTAAACATTTTTCGACGTTTAAACAAAGCTCAATCGATAAATTAAATAATTAGCAACTAGTCGATTGATAAACGGTCAAATGGTATTCTCTAAAAATAAAAAAAAAAGTAAATAAAATCGCGAATAATAATTTACATCATCGACTGGGCTTTAACGCAATTTCCATTTATTAATAAAAAATAAAACAGATTTAGGCTGCATTTAATTACAATAAGGTACAAGTTAAAACCTTCTCTTTGAATTGATATTTTTAATTAGAAATTAATATGATTTTTTAAATTCCAGATTTTCACCGTGGGAAAATTGTCCAATTACATCCTGTGAACTGACATACAATGAAAAAGAATCAGGAACATCCGATGCTGTCTTATTTCACCTTCAACGAATGACCAGACACGACGCAGTCGAAATTTCCACATGGTCTCATCGAAATCGACAGAAAAACCAAATCTGGATTTTCCTGACAGATGAATCTCCAATCCACACAACATTTTATCCAGAATACAATGGATTATTCAATTGGTCAATGACTTATCGATCTGACAGTGATGTTTGGGTTCCCTACGGTCGTACAATTCGAAAATCTGTTTTTTCTAATACTAGTAGCACCAATCATCCCTCCAAAATCTCGGATTATCTGAAAAAAATCCCCAAGAAAGACAAATTAGTCGCAATAATGGGTAGCAATTGCGTAAAAGATACAAGTGAAAGTAATCGGTGGAAATATGTCCAGTCTCTGAAAAATCTTTTCAAAAAATCAGAACAAAGCTTAGATATTTTTGGGACATGTCTAGGAGGCAACAGAACTGTCTGTCCAGGACATTTCAGACGAGACTGTCCTCTGTTGAAAGATTATAAATTCTATCTAGCTTTTGAAAACTCCAATTGCAGGGAATACTTGACAGAAAAAATATTCTGGAATGCCTATTCGAAATTTTCAGTGCCAGTGATCATGGGACCACCAAAAAAGGATTGCAATCGGTTGTTGCCACCTCATTCTTTCATTCATGTGACAGATTTTCATTCGCCAGAGGATTTGTTTAATTATTTGAGGTATGTTGATGAGGATGATGAGATGTATGGAAGATATCATGCTTGGAGGACAGAGTGGAGGGTTTTGAATGAACATGGGTATTTCGGATCTGAACCAAAACATTTTTGTCGCTTATGCCAGGCACTTTGGCGGAATAAATTTAAGAAAAAATATTACGAAAATCCCAGTGACTATTGGAGCAAAAATGACTGCTTACTGACCCCTTATTAATTCAATTCGCCATTAAGTAATTAAATAAATTCTGATATAAGCACAGCATTGCTACCAGTGAGAGCTTAAGGTTGAATGACTCTTTATATATGCCACGCTATTTCACCTGTTCAACATTGAGATGTTATTAACATTTTCTTGTTAAATAGTCTTTAAGAATATATATTTGAAAAAATGAAAGAATATATTTTCAGGAGAGAATGTTCGATTTAAGTACAAGCAATATTTTTAAATTGCAATATTGATTATAATTTAGTGATTATTATGAAGTGTGTGGCACACTTTATTTAAAAAATTTATATGTATGTAGTAAAAACGATCGTTTCATGAATTACACTCGTGAGGCGGTTGCGATAATCTTCAATCTAATTGATATTCATTCCTTAAAAACATTCTATTTACTTTTTGATTCCTTCTTTTAATAAACCAGTCAATTAATAAATAAGAAATATTCAGGGGATTTTGAGTTTAATTTGAAACGAGTATTATGTTGTTAAAGAGGAATTGTATAAAATAATATGAAAACAACAATAATAACTGTTGAGTTTTATTTGTTGAACTTTGAAAACGTTAGATTTGTACATGTCAGATAAAACGTGGTAATTAACTTTAATTGTTTAATTATTGATACTTGAAGAAGCAAAATGAGACTCGATTAATTTGTTGATATGAGATTATCTGGGAAAATCGATCTCTAAAACTTTGAAATTCTAAGAAAAGTTCTTTAAAACCGTTAAACTATCTGGATTCTCTAGGAGTTTATAAGTAATAATCACCATTAATTTAATTGTGTTTTTCCCAAGTCACTAACTACTATAGAATTAGAGAAATCAAACTATTCGGCTGCACTTTTGAAAGCAGCATTAGTCAGCCTCAAAAAGACTAAAGACTCGATGGATTCCCTAAATATTTATTTACCTTAGGCGGTAATCAATTAGCAATAGATGAATCGGCATTGTCACTATCTGTAATTACATAAATCCAAATAGGTTCCGTCGAATTGGGGCGTTGTCCATGAACGAGACCGATTCCGATGTGTTTTTCCAAGTACTCGATCATTTTTTTAGCGATAAATCGATTGAGTCCATGAACATCTGGGCTATTAGAGTACTCATCCAACTATAAAACGAAATTGCAATTTGTTTTTGTATTAAAAGTAGTGAGTGACGAGAGTAAAAAGACTAATTACCCTATTTTTTAAACGTTAAAAAAGCAAACCTTCATCCAAGTGCAATCAGAGATTTCTCGTTCGCACTTTTTAATTTCCAATGTCTCGGGTACCATCCTGGCAACCATATAGATATCACTGCAGCCGAATGCATAATTGTGGGCATGTCTGAATGCAACTAATGATTTGAATTGAGCTTTGATTCCAGTTTCTTCCAGCAATTCCCTCTGCGCAGCTTCAGGAATATTTTCACCTTAAAAATAAGCAATCAACCACGATAAATTCTTATACGCTTTAATTCTTATAATGATTAATTATTATACTTGCATTAGATTATTTAATCCTAGAACAGAATTTAAACATTCAAATACTGAAAAAGATGAGTCCTGAAAAAGAATTCGTTGATAAATTGGCTGAATAGATGAAAATAAAAAAACATTCTCTATATTTTATACACATTTTCATATTCTTTAAGCCTATCACTTTTATTCATCTCAAGGACTTCTTCTTCAAGGACAATTAAATTAAATGGACAGCAGGATGAATGTGTTTACCTGGTTCAACATATCCTCCAGGTAATTTCCATCGATTAACCGGAAGACTCGTGTGTTTTTCCTTAATTACGAGAACCTCATTTGTCTCCTCATTCACCACGAAAGCTCCTACCCCTATATTTGTGTGAGCGTAAGGTGGAACTGAAACATCCGGTGATAAACATCGGTACAGTGTGACGTAATTCTCCCTGGCATGATGAAAGTAGAATCCCTCGTTCACCAGGTGAGGAATCCATGAAGAATCTGACCGATCGACTTTAAACCAGACTGTGCGTTTATTTTCGGTTGTCCATTTAGGAAGGGAAGCTGCAGATAGGAAAAATCATTTGAAAAATTCTCATACACTTTTCGTAGATTATTTCAATTAAAAATTAATGACGGGGTGATATGGATATGTTTTGATTTCAATTGGGGCAATATCATTTAATTAAAACTAATTAAGTAATTAATTGAGAACCTCTTTCTTGGATCACGAAATTATACAATCTGAAATGATAATTGCACTATTCAAATCATTTAATTATTACCAGATTCAATAAAAAATTGATACTTTCGAAAAAATGTAATTTTGTTCTCTCATTATTTAAAGACGTAGTAAATTTAGTATAAATAATTTGGTTTAGGTACAATTATTTGAATTTTAAGCCCATTCGATTATGTCCATTGTTATTAACCAATGTTCGCATTATTTACGTTGTTTTTTACTTTCAAAGAATCTTATACATAACAGTTTATCAATTGATTATTTGCTGAGTACTTAAAGATTGAAAAATATTAAAAAACGAGTATATTACCCGCATCCACGATATACCACATAAACAAACTTAATTTTTTTAATACGATATTACCTAATTTATCAAGAAAACTGAGAAATCAAACAGTACGTGAACTATTTGTCGATTATCTATAGATTATTAATTGGTTGGAAAGTGAAAATGTGGAATGCAGAAGAAAATTTATAAAAGCCCGGGTGAATAAGTGACACCTATCGCATGCGTGTTACACACAGAAGAAAAATTGACATTGCAATCATTGATGCTTATGAAATAGTCATGACCGTCATGACCCACCTCTGAGCTTTGATCCAAACTTTTCAGCTCGACAGGGTTCTTTCCTGGAATCGACATGGACTCCTGCATGATGATCCATCTTCCCCACGAAACAATCTCCAGGTTCATCCATCTTTGTCACTTCTGGGCGACTTCCGAATGTTTTGGTAACACTAAATAACTCTCTTGCAATTACACGACGAAAGATCGCAGCCATACTCTGGCCCATTCATTCCATCCACATGATATCAAATCATGCAATCTTCATACCCACACTACCTACACCAATGTACTTGAGTTTAAAATTCAATGACGGTCATGTAACCCTAAAAAATTATAAAAAACCTCAGAGTCTTGAAGAAAAACGTTATGAATGGCAGAAAAGAGAACTAGACGAATGGAAAAGACGAGAAAATGAGAAATTCTGAAAAATAGGTAAAATCAACACCTGATGAATTTGATGATTCATTTGGAATTCTGAATGCAACTAGTAATTGAAAGTCTGTCAGAGCCTATTGATGTAGTCGAAATGATGAAAATTGATAGATAAAGTTGTGAAACGAGATGAATATCTTGATATCTGGAGGAGATTATGAATTAACTTTAGTCTTAGTCTTTAACTTTCTTACAGAGAAAGTTTAATGAATGCTCCTCATTCTGGGATATTTGGCCAAGAGAATAATACATCAAATATCTAACAAACTGGAATTATGCTTAATTAATAGCTAATCAGATAAATTTAATATACGATTGAAATTGCTGATTGAAGGAGGGAAATCAGAGTGGCCATTTTACCCTATTCTTTCTATTTTCATCAACAATCCCGCCCCCTTTTCCTGTCAACTTTATCACATTTATAATCTCAAAACGAAATTTTATCAATCGAGCTGCGTCTAGATTGTCCTAGTCTCGCCTGCATATAATATTTATATATTTTTTTTCTTTTCGAATATCTCAAAAATTTTTAGTTTTGAATCTGACATTTCAGTCGCGCCTCTGTTCATCATAACAGCGACATCTCTCACCTGTGGAATTCCGCCAATTTCGTCGATAAAAAGGATATAAAGCAATAATTTTACTGCAGGTGTCAAAGCAGGTGCTCTGACATCTCATCAAAGTATATATATATCAATCGAAAAATACTCAGTTGAGATAGACGTGTTTCATTTATTGTACTCGATTGCACACATTTCTGGAAATTATTTCTCACATTTGTCACTGATATTTGTGACGGTTTCCATTGCGCAGCAATTTAAGAATACTCGAGAGCTCGAAGAGCATTTATCCAATTCCTCTCCCCCATTCGCTAATAACAAAAAAAAATCGGAATGATTGGGTAAGGTTAGATGTTGACAATTTTTATTGTGAATGATCCGAAAAACACACAAGGCAAGCATCAAGTTTCAGTGCTCCAAAAATGTGAAATGGCGTAAAAGTTTTGGGACAAAGCGGAATAAAACCTTGAGGAATTGCGCGAAAAGCCACAATTAAAAAAAAAAGAAAACATCAAAACTGGAATTGTGGAGTGCGTAATTTCTCAGCACTCTCTTTCTTAACTAATCCAACAATTAAAATGAGTAAAATGTACTCGACCGCTAATTTAACGGATAAGGAACTCAAGGAACAGGGTAATCGTTTATTTGGCCTCCACAAATATGAAGATGCAATTAATTGTTACACAAAAGCTATTGTAAGCTCACATAAATGATTGAAAGAATATTAAGTACTTAGTAGGTTGTGCTGTGGTGTGATGCCCAATATTTTGCTATTGTTTACATTTTTTTTAGATAAAAAATCCAGGACAGGCGCAATATTTTACAAATCGTGCTCTGTGTCATTTGAAGCTGAAGAGATGGGATTCATCGTGTCAAGACTGTCGACATGCTCTGGATATGGATCCTTGTTTGGTCAAGGGACACTTTTTTCTTGGATTAGCTTTACTGGAGATGGAATGTTATGACGAGGCTATTAAACATTTGCAACGAGGTATCTCAACGTCAGTGAAAACCATCACTTCTAGTCGATTCTCCAATCTATTAGATTTTCTCGGCATTTAATTGCAATCGAAAATATCGAAAGACACTTCCTGGCAAGCGACCAATTAAACATTTCGCTTGAAGAAAAAATCAACTATTAAAATTAACTTAAAAATATTAATATTTAGACAATGGCTTTAATTATTTCATCAATTAACTTTTGGTCTATCGGTATTTAGTGCTTTAAATGAATGTTTCAGCTGTTGACTTGGCAAAAGAGCAGAAACTCAATTACGGAGATGATGTAACCAGTGTCCTGAGGCAAGCAAGAAAACGTAGATTTCAATTGAGGGAGGAACAACGTTTGGCACAAGATATTGAGCTGCAGACGTACTTAAATCAATTGATTATCGAGGATGCTGAGAGGAGATTAAATGCCTTGGAGGAGCAACAGTCTTCGGTGTCTACAGACCGTGATGAAGCTGGTAGTGAAGCAAATGACGGAGAGGAGGATTCAGCTAATGCCTCAGCAACTTCAATTGCGAGACTTGAAATTGAGAACAAAAAGGAGACTTCCATTACGAGATTGAATGATCTGTTTGCCAAAGTCGATGAAAGACGAAGGGTAATTGATTCAATTGACTAGTACTTTTCTTTTACTATGCACTCGTTTACTGTCATTTATTTTCTAAAATTTATTTTGCTCTGTGAAACGTTTAAAAGATATAATTTGGTGATCTACAACATTAATCAGTGAAAATAGGTGTAAAAAATTGTTTCGACAGGAAATCTAGATCTTGAAAAAAAGATATATTTTTTTCCTTGAAATCAGTATAATGTGAGACAGTGGAAAAAGTACTAATTCAGTTACATTAAAAAATGAAATGAATGCTTTATACAATTTTGTTGACAGAAAAGAGAAGTTCCTGATTACCTTTGTGGCAAAATAAGCTTCGAGATTCTACAGGAGCCAGTGATAACCCCCAGTGGAATAACGTACGAGCGAAAAGATATCGAAGAGCATCTCCAGCGTGTTGGGCACTTTGATCCAGTAACACGTGTTCGCCTCACTCAGGATCAGCTGATCCCAAATCTATCAATGAAGGAAGTAGTTGACTCATTTTTGCAGGATAACGAGTGGGCTTTGGATTATTAAGTGACAAAACCGCCTACTTCAGTTATTTATAATGCATAATTGATAGAGTAACTCCCAAGAGATGAGAAAACAAATTTGTACAATCGATAACACATCATGAGTTTGCAATATTCCGACAAATAGTCGATTAGAATTCATCTCTTCTTCATTTTTGATGCTTTTTGTTATAACTATCTCCATTATTATTATTATCGTCATTATTACCATTATTTTGAGAATTCGAATTGCTTTGTCTCTTGATATTGTTGACTCTTGGATTATGTATTATGTATAAAAGTGAAATTCCGTCCATATGCTGATGTGTATGGATTGATAGTTGCATTTGACAGTTTTTTCAATGCAAATACATGAATGCTTTTCGATGAATCGTAAATACTTTGAGGTATGCAATTATTAAATAACGTAGAATTTATTTTATTCAAACAATCAGTAATAGAATTACTTATTATCTTCGTATTTTTATCACGTTAACGTAAGGGAAATGTAATCCATTCAAATGAATTACCAGGTGAAGCCAATGAAAAAAAACACGAGTGACATTTATTTATTGGTTTGGCTGAAATAATGGAATCCTTATGTGTCAGAAGGTGACGATTAAGTTTAATTTTCCTAGGTAAACACTAGTGTTCCATCTTCTGTAAACTATTTCATTTACATAATTATTTTTTATTCATTTCTGTCAGTCTAATTATTTACAATTTGTGATCCAATCTTGGAGCTAACGTTCGTTATTAAAAATTTCACAATTATTTCTATTATCATCCCTTTGATATATACACAATCACTCCCAACTGCAAAATAAATCATTCAATCATTCCACTATTCATTCAAGTACAACAGTGAAATAGATATTCAATATTTGCCAATAACTTTCAGACTTCGACAGTTGAATTGAGAATAAATTTTTCAATAATTCACTGCAGTCTGTTTTGTCTCTCTTCAGTAGTTTTCGTTTATCAGTTTTACGGAAAATAAGTTGAACAAAAATTTAAAGCAAAAAGTAAATCAATGGAGAAATGAAAGGTCGACGTTTTAGTATCAGCAAGATAATGACCTTAATCTGCTCTATTACAACCACTTACTATTGAACTAATTGACATTCAATACTTCATAGCTAATACCTTGGCTTTTATCACTTCGTTTTAAATTTGTTATCACTGATGATTTTGTCTGAAAAATTTTATGAGCTCTTCTATATTTCTCTTCTTTCTTTCTTATTTTTTTATTGATGTTAAGTACCACTGTTGAAGTAAGTCATATGAAATGACATTTCCAAATTGTTCCGTTGTCAAATAATATTTCCAAATTATCTTCAACGCTCTCAACAGATTCCGTTGTCCCATATTGACATTGTTATTCCTAACAAAAGCATTGGATTCGTTAAATCCAAATTTTCCAGTACTTAGTGCTCACGAATTTCGGCGTTAGAATTTTAATCCAATACTTTTTCCTCATGGTTACAGGTTTTAATATTTATCCTAAAATACAAAACATGAACTAATTTTAATACTAGAGGAGAGGAGGATAAAATGGAGGTTCTAAGCAGAAACTCGTTCCTCAACAATTTTTAATACTTAAATGACTAGCCCTCAAAAGCATCCACCTAAATTTGTGCAACGCATCGATAAAACGAAAATTTTGGGGAAAAGGTGGGTAGAATGGACTTCCCTCCCTCTCACGTTTTTTCTTCCAATGGTCCCGCGAATTGACTCGTCGAGACTATAAAAAAAACTTCATTTCTGCTTCGTGCAAATAGTGTTTAATGTTAATCAGAAATCAGATTTTTATCATTGTTTTAAGTATTTATCAATTGAATTTAGTATGAAGAATTAAAACTTCATGTTAATTAATGAAATATGAAATTTAAACGCACATCAACGCATTAATTACTTCGTCCCTACATTTTTATAAAAAATTAGGAAAAAGCTTTGAAAATATTGACAAAAAAAACGAGTCCATTTTACCCCTAATCCCCGTCCCTAATCCTTTTGTGTCTTTATCTCGTCATTTTCCGTAGAAATTTCATCATTTTCAAGGGCACTTGCTACAAAATTGTTTCCATCACTCTCTCCATTCTGTTCTTGTTCATTATGTTCCTCCGGCCAAAAACGCGGGAGTAACGATAATAATACAATACATGTTATCGATAATGCTACGATAGGAGGAATTGTCCATTGATAAAACGCTGGGTTTGTCGATCCAGCAGTAAGGAGCAACATCCAGCCAAGAATCCGTTGAAGATTGACTCCAACGAAGTTGATATATTCGTTAGAATGTCTTTTTGGAATTCTAACAAGTCCCAGGGATCCCCAGCCTGTGATAATCACCCAGCTCCACAGCATGATTGGATCTTCAGTAGACAGTCTCGATTCGTAACTAAAAAAAAAATATTTTCTCTCCTTAGCATCCTAGAGTTTCCAATATCATGTAATATATCTCACCTAAAGTTTTTAGCCCATACGAGCACCGAAGGTACAGCAGGAATAGCAGCAAGACTCCACATAATGAATAATATCAAGTGATTCAGGATATTAGTTCTAGGATCAATATCATCACTGTCACTTACACTGCTCCTCCTGGACTTCCGACTCTTCAGAAACTTTTCAAACTTGTTACTAATAATTCTCAATGAAGACATCAACAACTCCTCCAGATACTCTTCGTACATACGCGTCAATTTCAGTAGATAAATCATAACTGAGATGACCATTGCTATTGCTCCACAGCTTGTCGATATCAACGACATCACGAAAAAACTCGAGAGGATTGGGAGGTGCTCGTAAGTGCCTTCACTGAGTAGCCAATTGTACCAAGCCATTGGGAACAACGTGATGACTTTTGCTAAGAATCGTGCAGCAAAATTATGAACTAATGATCCTGAGAAGATGACTGTGGAACACGTGGAAAGCGCGAAAAGATAGAGAAATCCTAAGGACGTGATGAATTCTAGTGTTAAATTCTGGAGAATCACCCCCAGGATTGTGACAAGGTACATGATTTCAGTTCCTTTGCGTTCTTCATCGATTCTTGTACTGATTATCAGCAGACAAAGACTCATCAGAACCAGATATAATCGATTCCATCGATCCTTCACGTGCATCGCCATTCGATCAATTATTCCTCCTTGAGAGATTTCGATTTCGTAATAGCATTGAGGCTCTAAAGTCAATTTCACAATTGCAGTCGCTGAAGTCTGGATCCTGAAAACGTTCTCCCGTCCGATATCACTGAAAATTTTATAAGGAAATTAATAAATGTTTTTCTCATCATTAAGTATAGAACTCTATTGGGTAATTTATGATTAAGCCATACATTAATACGATATAACTCTATGTCATTCCTTCAGTCTCCTTTGTCAGTGAATGGAGAATTTGATAATTAATCATTACATTATAATTATTTTATTTGCATACACTTACTTGATGGATAATACACGAAGTTGACTGATAAATGTCGAGTTGGAATGACTTTGTGGCTCGAGTAATTCAATAACTGCATGAGCGTATTTTCTGTCATCATCATCGTGACCATGAGCATCAAGTTTCTTCAATTTTACAGAAATCACGTCCTTAATTCCCTTTAAACGGATATAATGTCGAATTTCCGAGCCAGTTAATTTTAAATGAGTGGATTTGTAAACCGGTAAAATCGTGGAAACTCCAAATGGAATCCAATGCAAGCTCTTGTCAGAGACAATGACTTCTCTAGACTTTCTGGAATCTCCTAGAGAGTATAAATCAATGTGGATAGTCGATGGGTTTGAGGTTTTCGCTGGTATTCTCACCACAATGTGTGTTAATTCTTCGTTCAATCGTAAATCCTTCAAATCCAAGTCCACACTTCTTTTCAGATCTCTTTTAAACATCGAGAGAACTCGCGTTCGGTTAGTCAAGTTCCATCCCCATTCACAGGTTTTTAATTCACCTCGAGGAATTGCAGAACATGCGAAGATCCAGTCCTTTGTTTCTAGATTAATTGCATCGATGCCGACGTATGTAAATTTTTGATTTATTGGAATCATCAAGTAAATTTCCCATTCCTTTTTGTTTTTATTGTTGAATTCTCTAAACGTGTATTGTTCTTCAGTAACTTCAATCCATTCTCCGGAGGAGTGAAACGTTACCCTTTCATTGTAGTGAGTCCAATATTTATTTGAATATCTCTGGAAGATGGAAATTAATTTTCTATAATAACTAGAAAACTCAAAAGCTTTCTAATTTCTTTTGTTTTTGTCTTTCTGATGTTATACATATTTTTGTTAATGTGCTTTCTGTAAATTCGTAAAATAATATTAAAATAATCGAACAAACTTGTCAATCTATTGCATTCTGTTATGCAGAAAAGCATTCCATATCAAAATAAGTTGTGTTTTGGAAACTTTGTGGCCTCAAAGATGCACATTGGACAGCAATGGGAGAAACAATTTTTTTTTAATGATTCAATTTCCACTTACACTCGTGAGATGATAATTAAATGCCTGCAGTCGTGTGTTGTGGTCGTAAGAGATGACAGCATTGCCCTTTTCGATATCAACAGAATCAAAAAGTGCCCTAACGAGTGGAATGACAAATTGTCTGCACCAGAGAATCGACAGGTGATCGAGGGCCTTCCAACAATCGGGAATTGAACTACCAATGAGATTAAGATCTGCATGCGGATCGATCATCTGGGGAGTTGTTACCATGACATCTCGGGAACCACCTCCAATTGAAATGACAGAAGTGCCAAGTTTCTGCAGATCCCGTGCTCGATTATTCACTTGGTGATAAAAGTCGCAAGTCGTTTTGTCAAAGGCAACTCTAGGTACGTGAGGTGTTGCCAGTGTAATTAAAAGACTTGCCAGAGTTTTGTTATTAGGATTGTTGTGTAATAAAGCTGCTTTCGCCACAATTCCTCCCATCGAATGCCCAATCAGCACAATTTCACTCTTCTTTCGGTAGAGCTTCAGAATTCGTTGAATGCTCTCAGCAACGAATGATGTCTGATCACCAAGGACACCTCCGTAAAGGGCAGAGTATCCTTCAGCTAACGATACTGAGAAATAGTCGAAATGATAAGAAGTCCGACGTTTGATACCCAATCGGAGACTCACTGAGGCCAATGATCTGACTTGTTCATGAGATCCAGCATTTCCAGGGATAAATAATACTGGAATTCCTGTGAACTGCTTTTTTCGTAATTTATCAGTAACAAATCCTTCTCCATACGCATACAATGCGTATCTGGGGTGACGTTTTTCTATTTTATCATCCAATTCAATTCTCTGCAATTGAAAATATCAAATATTTATTGAAGTATTAGTCAAAAAGATTACAAGACATTTGTTGTCAACCGGCAGAATATTTTTGACAATTAATTACGCCGATGAATTAATTTAAATGTCAAAAGTGGTACGTAATTATTATATTAATTGAAAAATGAAGTTTTACTCACGACATATTGGGGATATTCAAACATGTACGTCAAATCGCACGTGTTTTCTTCAAGACTTGACAGATAATGTAATCCACCGAGTATATAAACAATAAATATAAATACTGAAAGAATGAAAACAAAAGGATGAACAAAGAGGCCTTTCATTGTGCAGTTGTCCACTTTTCACTTTTCTTCTGATTTACGTATATCACTATATTTTAAATAAATGGAATAAATATCAAGTGTTTCTGTTTCTAGAGAACATCATGAAGTGCAATCGACGATAATTCACGCTAAATTATCGAGTTAACCTATAAATTTCGGATGTCGTTTATGATGGGTAGTAAAATTTATCTGTGGATGCAAATAATCCGATATCTAATAGTAAATTAATGTCAGAGAGCCCATTATTGTTACAATATATTGTTTAGATAAGTTCCGTTTCAGTTTAATGTAGGGCAGCACAACCTTCAAATTGTTTAATAAAAGTAACAGTTTTTGTCCTTTAATTCCAGAGCGAAATGTTAACGGAAGAAATTTTTGTGGAACTGTTGCCGATTTTTTTTTACAGGTTTCCGCGATTCGTCTCTATTTTCGCGGAGAAATTGCAATGCCGGCACTTGAATTTTCTCTGTCACTTGAGTAATTTTACGTAATATTTACTTGAATGCTTCCTGCCGCCTACATATAGCAGTGATGGCCAATGATTTGGTAGATTTACCAGAATTATTTTGCCAACTATCATTATGATTGTTTGAGCATAATCGCCAAGGCCAATTTGAAAACGACAAATTCCTTTGCAAATCTGTCCATAATGCGCGGAACTAATAATTGATCATCTTTCAGAGTCTATATAGTCAAAATGATAAATATTGAGTGATCAATAAAATGGTGAAACGAGATGATTCAGTTCAACTGTTCTCTGATGAAGTCTCTGATGAGTATCTTGACACCTGGAGAAGATTATGAAAAGATAATCTTCAAGTCCCTTACAACGAGAAATCAAAGTGACAAAAAGATACCTGTCAAGTTTAACTAATGTTCCTCATTCCGGGATATTCAGCCGAAAGAATAATATAACAAATGTCTAACAATATAAAATCAGATGAATTTAATGCCCGACTAAAATTAGTGATTGGAGAAGGGAAAACCGTGTCCATTTTACTCTTTTTCCCAATTTTCCTGAATAATCCCGACCACTTCACATGTTAACTCTATTCCATTTATAATCAGGATATTTACGTGTGATATTCTCCACACTTACTCAGCGAGGTGTCTGTATTACCCCAGTATATTTCCCCTACATACGTATTCTGTTCCTTTGTTTGCATTGAGCTTGTTTTATTCATTTAAATCGAATGGCTTTGTACAAAAAAATTCAATAAACTGCAACTTTCTAAGCTACTGTTTTTTTCGCATATAAAAATAGAGATGTTAAAAATCGTAAATGAAGGAAAATTCTGAAATTGTTGTGTATTTTTAATCGGTGGCATCTTCCTTGGACACAGCGAACGGCTCTGGCACATCTTCAACACCTGAATCATCGATGACGACATCCTTCGCAGGTTTGTCACGGCCATCAGTTTTGGAATTTTCAATTTTTCTTATGATATCCTAACAAAAACGAGAAACGGACGTTGGAATTTTATAGACACATAGTGATTTCCTGCCTTTTTTTAAAAATAAAATTCATGGAATTTACTAACCATTCCTTTGAGAATCTTTCCGAACACGACGTGCCTTCCATCAAGCCAGGGAGTTGCTTTAGTGGTGATAAAGAATTGAGATCCATTTGTGTCTTTTCCAGCATTTGCCATGGACAACCAACCAGCTCCGTAGTGTTTAAGCTTGAAGTTTTCATCAGCAAAACGCTCTCCATAAATGCTACGACCTGACAAATGAAAATTCCACAAGGTTTAACAAGGATAAGTAGATGATGCAAGTATTTAGCAATTAGTCGATTGATGAATTGTCAAGTAGCACAAAATTATCGTCGATTTTTCGATTTAAATTAAAAACAGTCTCAGCTTTTCGCTGATAATATTGAAAAATTCGTAGTCTTTTGTTTTTCAGCAGCAAATGTGAATAGAAAATTTAATAAAATGAAATAATGTTTTTCAAGAATATTTTCTTCTGTAAAATTGGAGGAATCATCATAAAAAATACATAAGTTCGTTTTAGATGAAGAAATCCATTGAAAAATCGTCATCGAATTCGTGAACTAGTTCAACAATATGATGATGTGATTGTCAGAATGTTGTAACATTAATTTTAGAACCCCTGTACGATGTTCCAGAACAAAAGAAAGGCAAATATTCCTTTTACAGTTTAGAAGTGCCTGAAAACCAGTTATGGTGTGGTTTGATAAAAGTAATAAAAGAGTTACCAACCTCCAGTGCCGTCTCCTTTGGTGAAGTCACCTCCCTGGATCATAAAGTCCTTGATGACACGATGAAATTTGCTGCCTTTATAACCCTCACCACTTGGCTTTGTTGCAAGCTCAGCAAAATTCTGGGCAGTTTTTGGAACAGTCTTACCAAAAAGTCCAATTTCAACTCTTCCAGCATCGACACCACCGATTTTTATATTAAACCACACCTAGAATGCCACCAAAAAAGTCAATAAAGAGAATAAATAATTTGCAAAAATTTACCTTCTGCATTCAATTTAATAATTGATTGATTTATCAATTTGCATACCTTCTGTGTAACTTTCGGACCGTTCGCTGCTTTGTCAGCACTCGCAATAACTACTAGTGCAAATGCACTGATAATAGTTATTAAGGGTCTCATTGTTAACTCTTTGCGAATTGTTAATTCAGGAGAGGTGATTGGACTGGGAGTGGATGGAAAGTGGTAGACAGTCGGACGTTTTGTGGTTTTGTGATGTGTGGCTCGCATCGCTCGCACCGCTCGCACCACGGAGTGACAAAAGCCGGTTCTCGTACCACTTGTCATTTAACGTGGACTCCTCTGATAGGCTGATTTTATTCAAACTAAACTTTAAATTGGCCAATTCTATTGCTCAATGTGTCGTGAAAAGGTTGAATCCGGTATGATTAATTGCAAACTCTTTGAAACGAAAAAATTCCAAGACAAGCATCATTTGTGATGATGACCATTGTATGTTTTTGTATCGTTTCTTTACAACTTCACTCATTAAATTATTTAATCACCAAAACAAAAACGTAAAATATGGCAATTATTGTTTTTATTATATCCATTACTAAACTATATTATAGCGTAATCAACAAACAACTCATAATATTATATGGGCAATCAATGAATTTCATTACAGAAAAGTGTCTTCATTTTTTGTGTTATGGTTTCACTGACAATTAAATTATTGAATATTTTAATTGATGGAAATAGACATAAAATATGGTATGGGTAATTACTATAATATGGATGATTAAAACGTATTGTCGTTTCATCAGGAAAGAACCCAAATAATACAGAAAAAATACACCAATCTTAATTAATTGTTAAACAAAAATCTTCATTTTCTGTACATTGACTCTTTGCAGATAAATGAATAATTCACGGTCAAATGGATTGCAATTATTGAAAGAATCTGAACTATTGACATTATAATTGTTAGTCATTTTAAAATAATGCATAATCCTGACCTTATACTTGAGAATTGTTTATCGTTAATAATAAAAAAACCCAACACATTTTATATTGAAACTTTCTTTATTGCGTTTGCATGTTTTGATGATTTGTTATTGACAAATGGGTATTTTTTTCTTTACCTAAATAAGTTTCAAATCATCCCTAAATAGTTATGATGTCTTATTCAATATGTATGATTTGTTGTGCATTTTGAATTCATAATAGTTAAATTACAACTTTACATCAGTTTAAAATTTAGTATGAGTCACATATGATTTCAATCAATGTTCTCTTTCTGTATTACTCATTATAATTCAGAAGTAATACCCCGATGATTCTTGCAGACGTATATTACAAAGTAACATTGCACACACATACATACTTAATCCAACTTAAAGGTTTATTTTTATGATTTTGCTTCAGATATCATACCACTCTGTATGATTTTTGTATATTCTCTGGTAATACACTCACTGAAACTACTATCGATATTTGTCGCCTCTCATTTCAATTTATTTTCATGCTTCGTGTAAAATCTTATTACATCACTCGCACATAAATCATCATATATTTATCAGCTATCGCATAAAAAGAAAAAAAAATAAACATACAATTTGAGGATCAAATCTTAGAAGTTTAACCGAAAATAAAACCACTTTATCAAGAAATATTTAGCAACAAATGACTCAAATGAGTGCCGCACTAAAATAAATCTGTATTGAAGTCATAAAACGTAATTCCCTCAGGGGAAATTTCAATATCATGTGTCTCTATGACAAACTATTATTAGGAGATTATTGGGAGGGAACTATTCTCAATGGAAAAAAGGCCTCTCATAATTTTCTCCCAAAATTACTCATTACAGATAATTGTATGTGAGCAGTCGACAGACATTAAAACTTCCAGTGCAATTATTATGCAGTAACTTTATTAATGAATGATCAAAGACGCAATAATTACAAAAAATGGTCAGTAAAAAAATTCGTTAGTTGGAAACGAATACGTGTGAAAATTTGACTCGATTCTTCATTAAATAGCAATATAATCTTCAACCAATTAGATTTTAGTGCTTCAATTCGGAATTAGTGAAGAAAAAAAAACAAAACAAAAAACTGGATCAGGAGCTTCATATCTGTCAATAAAATGAGATAATGATAAACTCACTGGCTCTGGAAAGCTCGTTTATACAATGCTAAGGAGGAGGGGAGAAGGGGGAAGGAAAGGCCAATTGAAACAACGTTCCAAGTCCTTTCGTTACATTTACTCGTCACAATGGTGGTAGGTAGCCCTGTCAGAGAATATAAAATAAAAAAAATTGAAAGAATAAATGATAATTTTGCGAAAAAAAGAATTGTTTATGAATTTACCGTTGCTTCCCAGTGTTCCTGCGGGACAACCTTCTTCCAGAATCTGTCGTAGCTAATGTGTAACGTTTAGTGTGGATTGGATTGGTACGTAGAGCACGCGGTGCAACAGCTTTTGCCTCTTCCACTTTGACCATAAATTTTTTTATCAAATCAGGACAATTCAAGTTATCCTCGGGCTCCCACGTGTCTTCAGACGGCTTGAACCCCTTCCATCTTATCAAGAATTCACGTTTACCATTCTTTTTAAAATATACATCGATTATTCTCTCAACTTCGTACTCAGCATTGTCCTCCTTAGCGTTGTTCTCTTTTTTAACTTGAGTCAGAAAAACATAGAATTTATTACTAAACATAAGGCGTTGAGTATGACATTCTGCATATCAAAATAATATAACGAAAAATTATTTGATTATTGTTCTTTACCATTGTTAGTCTTTTTCGGTTTCTTTCCCTTCTTCTCCACCTTCTTTGGTGCTTTGCTCGAGCTCTCGGCCTCTTCCTTGCTCCCTTGTTCAACTAGGAAGTCCTCGATCAACTTTGGACAGTTGAGATCTTTCTCCTGCTCCCAGGTGTCTGCATCTTCATTGTAACCCTTCCAGCGAACCAGGAATTGACGTCTTCCTTTAATCGTTCTGTGAGCAACGATTTTCTCTACCTGAAAGTGCAGAAAGAGAATGTTGAAAAATCGAGAAAGGGCAATTTTCTTATTCCTCATTAATTGATAAATTTCGTATTGGATGTTAATCAATACGATGATTATCGATTGGATGAAAGATTTTAGAGAGAAAATGTGGGAGTTGATCATCAATACAAGTTTGAAGCATTTAAATTTTTTGATAATAATCTCAGTGAGTGAAATGATTCGTTTATGCGTTTTACAATTCTTGAATATTTCGAAATATTAAAAAGATTGTGATGGAAATTTATTATTTTATTATATCTACCTAAAATGATCAAAATATCTCTGAGACTGACAGATGATTTCGATTATTGAAGAATTGAAGATATGATCGAGGAATTATTGTAACGGAAATTGAGAAAAAATGAAACAATTCAATAATCTCGATGATGTTCGATTATAAATCATCGACAGCCTTCTGGATGTAGAATTAAAAAACATGGCGTTGATTGAGAAAACAATTCGATGTACAACAGTAATGGCGGGAATCCCTCGAGTTTGGTGGTATTTTTTTTTTCTTTAATTTTCATCTCACGTAGATAATTCGTTGAAAAAAACCCAGAAAACTAGAATCAAATTGAAGAATATTATGAGGGAAAAACAAATAATTTACCTCATATTCCTGATCCTCATCATTATTTTCATCGCCGTTGTCTTGTGAAGTTGTTGGCTTCTGTTCCTCCTTTTTCCGGCGTTTCCTTGCTCCCCCCTTATCTCCATGACCATTTTCATTCTCCTCATCAACTTTTACCTCAATTTCATCGACCTCCTCGGTTTGTGGCGTAACAGATCGATCATCACCACTTTTACCATTATTTTTAGCCCTCGATCCTTTACGCTTTGTTTTCGGCATCGCATCAGCTTCTGTCGCATCTACCGAATTCTCAGCGTTACTACCTGCACCGCCATTTTCCTCTGATTCACCATCACTGTTATTATCGGATCGTCTCCTTTTTCCTTTCATACTCAATTTTCTCATTATCTGATTTGACTCGTCTAATTTGTCTCTGCTGTTTGCTGGAGAATGAATTTTTTTTCAGGGCCTTGGGCTGATATTTTTGGAAAATGTTGAAAATTTTATCAATGCGGTAGTTGCTACCCCACCATTGCCCGCCACAATTGGCCACAACGACGAATGCACCAATAACTTTCGAATTTCTAGTGCTGACTGAGTATTTTTCACTGATTCCCGGGTGATGGGCGATGAGGATTATTTTTTTTCTCACTTTTTAAACGAGCTTTCGAATTAAAAAAAAAAACTGATACCACTTTTTTTACAGATTTATTCACTTTTCGGCTTGTAAACAAATCGGAGAGAAGGAGTCGGTGTGTATGTGGGTGAGTGAGGTGAAGGATACGAGTGAGGAGTGCGCATGCGGTGCCGGCAACTCGGAAATTTACCGGGAAATTTGAAATTTCAATTTGCAGAGAAGTCTTGAGGGTTAGGATATATCGGGGCATATATACTAGAGATATCATAGAATAATATTAAATCAATATTGCTGGAAAGTCGAATGGTGGATTAGTCGCAATATGAATTTAACACATAATTGTAATTGTACAATAAAATAACATTGAGTATAGAATATTATGGCTTGTCTGATTGCTTGACTCTCGGGTTCCACGGATGATCTGTCTTTTAGTTGGATATAATGGCTAAAGTTCCATTTTAGGAGAAATTTTTGAAAGATTTTATTGGGCTGAAACTATCGCTATTTTTTCAAAATCATATTCAAAATTCTATTTCTTTGAATTGAAAAATTTGAAATTCGAAGTATTTTGAATTATGACCATCATTACCATTGAAACTGAAATTAAATGATTTCTATTAATTTCTCTTTCGGTAATATTAATTCAATTATTTTCAAAGTTGTTTCTACAAGCTTTATTATTTTCTCGATTCGATAATTGCGACGATAGAAATTTTGCTGAATTGTTACCCAGGCAACGCAAATGTGTTTGCGGCCGAAGTAATGTTGAATTAATCTCTAGATTTTTTCTGCGGCGATATTGAAGATTTTTTAACGGTATCGCGTGATTAAATTATGGCGAAATCCGTGACGATATACGAAAAACCAACCCCTCACTTGGGATTACCAGATTGGTATGGAAAGCAGTGGCAATTGCAGCAATCAGCGAAGAATCAAATTTCCGATTCATTTTCACTCCGCAATACAGCAAGAACTCTTCGAAACGAAACGAAAATTCGTACAGAATGGGACACTCGAATGAACGACGCACGATTGGATGACCGAGTCAAGGAGCTGAAGAGATGGCAGGAGATTTTCCAAAAATTGGCCTCCAACCTGTCCACAGAAATGAAACAATTAAGGGATGAACAATCTGAGAGTGAGAATGATCTAGATAATATAGAATTACCTTTACAAGTCGTGGCTCAATGCATTTCCATGAGAGATTGCAGGAGAGGAACTGAATTGACTTATGATGAAGCTGATACTGAACTCAAGAAAGAATTGACTGTTGTTGAGGCTGTGAAAAAAGCTCTCTCTGAGAAAATCCATGCTGCTTGGGTAAAGCTCAATAAATTGGAGGAAGTGAATTTTCAGTTGAATTTAGATCTCAACGATAAAACTGAAACTCTTGCTATTGATGGCGATAACTTGATTCTAAATAGAAACTCCGGGGGAATCAGCTATAAACCAAATGCTCTCCGGATACCCAAGAAGTAATTATTCTCTATGTAATTATTGAATTATTAAAAAGTGAGCAGTCCAAATATCGCATGCCATATGCTTTCAAATCCTAATTTTTAAATTACATTTAATTGAGAAAATTATTTCATAAACACTTAAAAAAAATCATGGATTTCTAGATTCGACAATTAATTTTTGCTCTGCAATTCGGAAGTGCAAATTAATGTAAAAGAAAATACGATAATTATGTTTGGATTATTTTCCCAATAAATATTTTTCTTTCAACGTTCAACGACATAATGAATTTAGTATAGAAAACATGATTGAATCCCAACCAATTAAAATTTCAACTCCATTCGATGATGTACATTGTTTCTAACGTTTCCTTAAAATTATTAATCTGCGTATAAATCTAGAAAAATGTGAAAAGTTAAGGATGAAAGAATTTTTCATGGATATCCATATTATTACAGCATCATTCTTCTCCTTACATAAATGCAGCTGTAAATATAATAATAATGAAATAAATTTCAGCTCAAACACGTACGAAACATGGCAGGAGCGTTGCCGCTACATAAGAAGTCTTGTTGAGAATGAATTGAAAGACACTCTGAGCTTCCGAGAGGCTCTGAATGTAATGCGTAAACGTGCGAAAATTGACACTGAAGCACAACAGGACGCCACTGATTATGCCTTACGAAAGCGAATATATCAAACACAAAAAGCAAGAAATGAAATGGAGTGGCAAAAGAGGAAGATGCAGGAGGAAATGGAATCATTGATGAATGAATTGACTAGACTTGAAGAGGCACTTAAAAACAAAGTTGATGCTGTTAAATGCGCTGAGACTAGACTGGAAAATCGCATCTACAGACCTGGTTATGAATTATGCAGGGATGAGCCACAATTTGGCTTGACTGACGAAGTTATTCAGCTCAGAAAGACCAAATCCGAGCTCATCACCAAAATCGATTGCACTAAGTAAATATTCATCTGCTCTGCTAATTAATCAATCATTTTAATTTTAATTATTTACAAATCATTAGATACTTTTTAGAAATATATTACAATCATTTAAGTTCAATACGAAATGTGTTCTGATTTGTTTAATCGTTTGAGACAATAATTTTAGAAGATGCCCTCTCCGGAAATTTAAAACCATATCCTCAAGAATATTTATTTATGTTATGAACTCAATCATTATCAATGTTATATTTATTATTAAATATCTTGCTTTCGTAGATTTTTTCGATCATTCAATTGAGAGAAGATTGAGAAGCGGAAATGGGCAGTTAAGCAATCGATTCAATTTATAGTAGATAAATTATTTAAAAATCATGAGATGTTTTTATTGAAACATATCACAATTATTGAAGTGCAATATAAAATTTTTTCCAACGTGTTTAATCATTCGATAGAATAATTTTAGAGAAAGATGCACTCTTCGTAAATTAAAAGCCATTTCATTAAAAATATTAATTTTTTTTCTAAAATCAATGCTACCAATATTATATTTATTAAATATCTTGTTCTTGAATTTTTTCGATGATTCAATTAAGAGAAGATTAAAAAATGGAAGTTTTCATAACAAAGAAAATATTTAAATGTCCTATCCAATTTGAAGAATCTAATATTTTGATTTTAGAAATTGCTTTTGCAGATTTTAAATGAAACTGAACTTTGATTTCAGAGCAACATTCAATGGCCTTGAATCCTTGCTAATCCAAATTGACCGTAACCTCGACGACAAACAGCATTCATTGATGACAGATATAATGTGCCTGGACATGCGAGCAACCTTGAAAACTGGAGATCGAGCTCCTCTGATCAATGAGACCGAGCGAAACATTAAGTTAACACAACTAGAAAATGAAATACCTCTCGAGCTGTAATTTCCTCAGCCACACAGAATAATCTGCACTCATTTTTAATCGACTCACTTCAATTGATCAGCATCGACATTTGGAATATAAATTTACTGTAACGATGAGGCATTGGCGAATGGGAATGATGATTATTTTTTGGTGAGATCTTTCATTGGTCGTAGAAATGAGACATTTAATTTTTTTCAAAGAATCAAAGAAAGAGTCTCCAACCCACCAGTTCCATTTTATTATACAATTGTGTCTGGATTAGCTTTGATAAGACTATACTCCGTGATAAAAACATCTGTTAATGCTGGCTGTAATGTTTTGATGGCTCTTTTGTGAATATCCGTGACTCTCATTGGCTCTCCATGTTTCATTTCGAATAGAATAAAATCAATCCACACTTGAGTGTTAGATTTTCCATAATGCAGGGTAGCTAGTTCATGAGGTCTTCTTGCACTGGATTTGCAGATTTTCGGCTGGATCATCTCCAGCTCTGCCATCTTCTTATGTAGCTCTAAACACGTGGGAGGTTGAATAGCGAGCTCGTTGTATTTTTGTCTAGCTGCTTGAATTCCTTTGGTTAAAACCAACCATTCAATATACAATGGCTTCATTTCCTTGGCTATTTCCCCGTCACTTTTCATAGCTTCAGCAAAAATATCTTGGACTTTCTCAGAATGTTTGGCCTGAAAGTAGAGTAATTTCATTCGCCAAAGGGGCAGGGCCTTTCCACCTAGTAATTTCGAAGCTTTAGCAAACTCTTCGATGACGAGAGAATCTTTTCCTGAGTTTATCAAGTGTTTTATCTTCATCTTCCATAGATTTACACTCGTAGGAATAGCGTCTGTCCCATAACACAAGACCTGGTATAATTTGTTTTCAGATGCTTCGTCTTTTTTATCAGTTGTCAACATGTCAATCCAGTAGAGATAATATTTTTCTTCCAATTTTTTGGCTTGGTGAGCTTGAATCAAGGCGTTCTTCAGTAGCTTCCGTTTATAATTAGGAAGATGTGATAAATCTTGATTAATCTCGAGCAGACAATCTATGTAGAGCGACCACATTGTCTCTGATTTCAATTTTTTAACTGCAGCTTGGTAAACCTCGTTGCAATTAGTTATTCGATCTCGTAGAGAGTTCTGATCCTCTTGGGTTTCAATTTCCATCGAGTCCTCTTCCTGTGGATCGTAAGAGAGCCCTTCTAATTCTCGTCGTGCCATCGTCTCCCACATCTGGGGCTTGTTGGAATACTCTTGCGTGAGATCTGAGATTATTTCATTCTCCAGTTTTTTTGTATTTTTGTGATGTTTGCAGAGGTTCAAAAGATTGATTATGAATGAGACGTCTTTAACTTTTTTGAAGGCCATTTTGTAGATTATTAGAGCTCTTTTTATACCCAGGGGCATTTCTTCGGACTTTTCCGCGGATGTTTCAGGCGATTCCTCTAATTTTTTAGCTGCTTCGTCTGCTTGATCTAGTTCTAATCTGGAGATAATTATTGAACTTGATTACTCGAAACGGTTTTTATGTATAAAAATAAGAATGGCACTACTGACATCGTTGGTAATTATAATTATAATTGGAGAAAATAGATAAGAACTGTTCCTTACAGAGAATTTCTTGCTGAAAATCATTCTGGATTTGTTATAAAATTTCTGAAGATTCTTATCAAAATTATAATGATTAAAAAATTTTAGGATATTGTTTATAATTTTTGCTAAAAGAATTAATCGCCTAAATGTGATTTCTCCACTGAAAACAATTTCATCTCCTTTTTAATTGAGAAAAGTAGATGATCAATCATATAAATTTAATCAGACTTACTGAAGTGCATCGGTGTAAAGCAATTGTGATTCCTGGTGATGATTAATACCATTTATGAAATAAGTTCGTGCATTATTGATGTTCTTTCTCTCCTCAAGCTCCCATTTGCCAGCAATATGATGGCACTTTGGTTTGTCCCCGTGAATTTGAAGCATTTCCGTTAGTGTTCGACTGACTACATCATTGTACCCCTTTTCAATTAGAAACATATAAAACAATTAGTGATATGTGATCATTTCGTCGAATAACGCTCATTAAATACTTACAACTTGTTTACAAAACTTCATGTAAGCTACGTAAAATCTGAGATCATCTTTGAATCTCTCTAGAGCCTCTTTATACAAATTCATCACTCTGTTGACGATTCCATAATCAATATCGCGTTTTTTCTGAGTTATTCCGAATTTCTGAAAATGGTAAATCCATAATAAAATTTAATTTTTAGTGCGTCTTTCAAACGCTCTTGAATGTCTTAAATGTCCCGCACTTATAGCTTTCAAAATTTTATTATGTTATCAATAATAACTAACCAATAAATATGGGTATATCAATTATAAATTACTGGTGAAAGACATAAAATTCCATTTTTGTTTAATCACTAAATCGGCAAAAACGGAGTTGATAGGAATAAAATATAATTACTCACATTTCTTCGTTGTCTCAAGAGTTTCAAAAGATCCATTTCATACTGAATATACCGTAAAAAATCCTCTTTACTTTTTATTGTCCTCGAGAGTTTGTATTCATAATCCTTTCGTTTTTTAATGATTCCCCTATGAATAAAATAATCTCAATCATTATAGTAATTTTATTAAAAATATGGAAGTGAGAGGAAGTTATTTTCATTTTAAAATTAACACGTATGTTTTAATATTGTTATAATTAAGATTGATTATAAAATAAGCGGAAAATTATATCTCAGTTGATTCCATCTTCTCCAAAATGCAATATTTTTATTTTAAATATTTTATTTTGGGAGAAATAAAGGGATTGCGGTTTTGGTTGAAGGAAAATATTTAGACTAATTGTCGGTAATTTAGAATGATTTACTAGGTTTTATTATTTCAGTAGGATTTTAGAGTGTCAGACTATTTTCCTAACCTGATTTCACGTGCATCAAACAATTTGATCTTCTCCATCAGCTCCAAGTGCTGCACTGAGTTTTCACACCGTTTTTGTACTCTTTCTGCCATATTTTATGATTAATGAATGTCAGTCTTGAGATGAGAGTGGAAAATACGATCAAATTACGATAATAAACATTGAATTTACACGTGCTTCAACTGGGGAGTTTATGAGACTTCTTCAGACCGAATGAAACTTCGCTGGAATTTAATTGGTTATGGAAGCCCCAGCCGAAAGGCGCCAAAATTTGAACATGGAATTGAGAACAAATTCAGCTGAAACTATTGTCAGTAAAAAGCAATTAAATTCATCTGATTGGTCATAAACTAATTATAATTCCTCATTGTTAGACCTTTGTTGTATTATTTTCGTGACATTAATTAACTGAGAGAAAAATTGAGTACAATGTAGAAAACCTATTTATTTGCAATCGAAAATTATAGTTTTTATTAAATTAAATTTGAAACAATGAAAAATGTTTTAGTAACCATTTGATTAATTTATGAATTTGATAGATCCGCGCCACTTCGCTGTTTCTTAATAAATATCTTGTGAAAACAATTAAATATACTTTTAAATTAATTATTCAATTCTATTATACTATTTTTTTGGGACTATTGAGTAGTTGAAAAATATTTTTCAAATCTTGATATACAACTCAAAATAATTAGTCGAGGTAACCAAATATGTTCCTAAATTTAACGCATCCTTAAAAATATTAACGAATACTAATTTCAAATTTGAATGCTTGCGAGCAAGTTAAATTACAATTCAACTCAATATTTTAATAATTCAATTTGTCAATTTCAAAGCAATCCGTTTTTTTTTTAATTCACCAAATTCTTTTCTCAGTGAGAAAATCCACAAAATTTTAGCAATAATTTCGAAAAATGAAAGCACGACTGAAAATTTATGAGTCATTGAATAGTAAAACTTAAAACTTTTTTTTTTCACCTTAATCTGATGCAGAATTTTCCAACAATTAATAATAATAACTGATCCTTGAAAGCAAACAAGAAAATCTACACATTTTAGCTACCTTATCAACGAGATGGTTGTTATGATGAGCACAAGATGTCGCCAACATTAAATAAAATTCATTGCTCGGTAAACCCATTTTCGGATCAATGTGCCGGATAATTTCATGATGGCCGACAGTTTTTCTCGTTTTTCCGTTTTGTCGTGAGTTTGTAACTCGTAACCTTGTGATTATAAATACGAAAACAAAACATAAACAAACCCATAACCCCGACGAATGATAAAAATAAAACTAATACTTAGTTACGAGAATGACAGAAAGGACATCATCAATCGTAAGTTTGTGATGAAAATAAATTAGCAAGTGCCATTTATACTTCATTCATCACCATCACAACTAGGTTATCATTAATTTATTCATTATCGTAATTCAACAAATTCTTCCATAATGTCTGTAACAATTGACACTATTTATGATTCAATAGTTGTTGCTGAGGGAATTGACATTCCTCATTTATAAAAATTAAATCGAAAAATGGGATGATTTAGTGCGCAAACTCAAGTGTAAACACGCAGACAAACGGTTCATTGGCCGTTACGTAGTGCAATTGATGACGTCATGCATTGACGAGTACTCATGATTTTTTTTTCTTTTGTCGTTTGTTTCTCATGACTTCTGCCATCTCCACTCTTTCCTCAGGCATTAGTTACACGCATGCTAGACTCTCAATGAACATAAAATCCATAAACCATTAATTAGTGTAAACACGCTCATTTCCATTTAAACTTTCCTCAAACGAGTGATACTAAGTAGGAAATTATTATTTTTTTCTATTGTGCAGGTATTGTTCATCTGGAAATGATAGTTGACGGTTAAAATAGAAAAATCGGAAAAAATGAAAATTTATTATTTGAAACACCAAAACCTAGTTGTGTTGAAAAAATAGAACATTCTACTTTCGGGGTAGATGTAACAGCGATTTCAATTAACTTTGAAGGAATAGGTTATCATTATCTTAAGTTTATTTATAATGTAGTCTTTTTCCTTTTTTCCAATTATTTTTTATGGTACGTATTAACTAATAAGTTCAACCACAAGGAAAACAAAATTTGATCAAAAGTATATAAAATTTGAATTGTGATTTTTATGGCATCAATCGGAATTTTTCCATAAAATTAAAAAATAATGGAGTTTGAGAAATCAATCGAAAAAATTTTTCACTTTTAAAAAATCCAATTATTTCATAATTTGATGGATACAATAATTCTAATGGATTTCGTGAAGTCTATCATTTACATTTGATCTATTTTGATTTAAGTTTATAATGGAAAAAAGGAGGAATAATTGAAATTTCCATTACAAATTGAGGAAAATTGATATAAACATAAGAATACGAAAAAAAATGAAATGTTTAAGGCCAGGAAATGCTCCCGAGACTTTAGTGGAATGAATTGACGATGATAATTTTTTTTTTCACCGGATGCCAACGGTTTCAACACTGGACACTAGGCCATGGAGCTTGTTGAACACTCCTGTACTTAGCACAGTCATCAATAGCTCCCTGGACGAAAGGTAGTTGTACGATGTTCATGTCGTAGTTTGAGTTGATCAAAATAGCATTTATCGATGGGATCGGAAGTTTGGAAATGTCAAGATGTTCGTGGGCTGATCCAGTGATGGGATTGAGGGCTCCACAACGGGTTTTCGCAAGGATGCAGGCTGTTGTGTTGACGAATAGTTGAGCAAGAGGTATCTCCTCTGTCGAGAAGTCAGGAATTAAATCCAAGGCTTCTCTCACGCACTGGCGAATCTATCAAGAAGATTAGAGTAATTTTGGAGTGAGGAGATAAATGGAGATAAACTCCAGACACATTTCCAACTAAACTCCATCTTATTCACTCGATTTACAACGGTTTTTTTTATAAATCTCGTCATTCAGAATAATTAGCAAAGCCTACGAGTTGTAAATATATACAATTTTGAGGTGTTCTAGCTGAAACCTTGAATACATTCTGCAGGAGAAATAGATCGATTCACGAGAAAACTTCATGCATTTGCGGGTGGTTTCTGCAATTTTTCTGGCGAAGCTATTCTAATCCTACATATTCAATACAAAATTTACTTGTTTTTCGTATCTTGTACTAAGATTTTATTGCGGAAAATTGTAGAGTTGAATAATACCCCAGGAAATATATTGTTTGCGTTATTACTTCAAACTGTTTTGCTTACGAAAACATTCCCCTTGCTCTAGAATTATTACGTAAACGTACATATCATTTGGGGTTTATTTTTAGAATCCAATTGAATATACATGTTTGCAAATTGTCTGGTCGAAAATAGTTGTTCTTTGGTAGTAATTGGAAGATTGGCAAGTTAAAGACAACACGTGAAGTTATGGCGTAAGATAAGAAGTGAATTTATTTTTTTTAGATGAAGTTTTCTCGTCTCAGATTGATGATGTCATTGTGGAGTCATTAATTGATGTTTTTGTCAGTATTTCCTTTGGGGGGAATGTAATTAATGGCATTTGATGTGATAAATTGTTACCCCTTGGATCGATAACTCCTGTTGTAGGACGGGCAGTAGTTGATTTTCCAGGATCTCGCACAATACAAATTCCTCTACGTGCGAAGACATACCTTGTGATTATGAAGCTACGGGTTCTCTTCATTCCCACCAATTTTTTACCATTCCTCAATGCCACACGTGCCTCCTGTGCAATTTATCTACGTCATTTGTGTATTTACAATCCTAAAGTAGTCACTGTGCAATCCACTGATGATTAATTCCGGGTATTGACAATTTGAAAAACTATCAAATGGTTAGTTCACTATTTATCACTTGTGTATTTACAGTTCGAGAATTTAGTCGATGTGCTATGGATAACTGATGAATAATTCCGAGGATTTACAAATTTAAAAGTTTGAAATGGCTGGCTAGTTGATTATTAAATTATTTTTGGAATCTACCCTCTGAAAATGGAAAGTGTTGGAAGATTGAAAAGTAGAAATAAGATCGTTTTTCAAATATTCGATTTGAAACTTCGAAAGAAGATCTTTAAAATTTTAATAGGAATGAAGCGACAGAAAATTTTTGTAAAATCCAGCAATGATGAACCATTTGATTTCTCAAATATTCAATTAATTCTCTTTCTTCAGATTCTTACAATAATTACAAGCAATAATTTCACCCAATAAAAAAACCCACGTTTCCATGTATTTTAATTTTAAATGGGAAATTTAGCGAGTGTTTCCAATTGGAGTTAAATCAAAAATCAATGTAATTGAAAATTCCAAAAATATTGGGATCGTCATGCTAAATGATCATTGCTTTTTTAATAAACTGCATTCAATAACGTTCAATAAAAAAATCAAATTTTCAACAATTCTCACGATTAATGGGAAATTTAATGAGCGTTTCCAATTGAAACTAAATTGAAACACCCACAATAGGAAAATCAGATGACATTGTGAGTGAAATTTCGAGAAATTCTGTAGAGAATGGTATTGCGGATAAACATTACCAGATTGTCCTTGTTCACTTGTCGTATGCATTCGAGAAACGTGCAGTAGATTGTAGTTGGGGTGGCACGTGTCGCTGCATTTGTCGTGGCATTCTTAGAAAATTGATACACGAGGTGAAAATATAATGCTAATTGCCGATAATATTGTAAACGTACTAAAGACATTTTTACTACCTTCAAGTAGCCACTACAATGACCGTAATTTGAGTCATCGAGGTACAAATCAGCACACGCTGACATTGATAATAGCATTGGATATCCTGAGGGTCTATTACTTGCTCGAAAGAAACAGCCATAACATGCGTCACGCTCTACATCGTCCTCGTCCTGTGACTCATTGCACAGTTGATTCAGAAGTTGAATTGTCCTTACACTGTAATAATACAAGCCCTTCATCAACTTTCACAATCCAAGACAATCCCTCCATTCATTTTCCACCTATTGCCACTATGAGACATTTCTTTTGTTACATGCTCATTCATATTCTCTATTTACACTCACTTATTAAATTACTAATGAATTTAATTGGTAACAAGTAAATGTATCAAAATATTTCCTGTTCAAATATTTAGAATTTATTGGAAATCATTAATTTCAAACATGTATCTCGTTGCATGTCAATTCAGATTTTCCATTTACATTACAAAGGAATTTACTTGGTACAAGTACATGCATAAAAATATTTGTATCTTAAATTAGATAATTAGATAATTAGATCATTTATGTTTTTCCAATTATTTTCCCTAGCACACTTCCACAATTCATAAATTTTAATAATAAAACGAATAATAATAGTGAGCAGATATTTATTTATTGGAAAAATAGAAACAGGAAGGGGCAATTGCATTTCAAAATTTATCAATGAGGCAGTAAATGTTCCTATAATTCGATACATATATTCATAATTTCATCAATTTAATTATATTATGCCGGAATAATGGATAAATATTTCAAATAATAAACAGGTGAATTAATGGCTGAATAAAGAAATGAGTAAATAATTCACACACAAATGATTGGAATGAAATAATAAAGTGTGAATCGTTCTTTCGAGGGGGAGAATAATGATTTTACACGGAAAAAATTGCACGCACTTTGTATAACCACCGAGCAACACTTTAGTCAACCCCTCGTGCACTGTAGCTCCACAAAATGTTTTTTCAAGAACAAATAGCACATGAAAACATACACAGAAGTAAATAATCAGCATTATGTAGATTTCTTGAGTTGCTAAAACATGAATGAAACAAATATGGCTTACGCTGTGCATTTATACATCACCACCGGATTTTTCATACGCGATAAAATCATATCACGAGTCGTGTACAATTACGCTAATTATTTTTTATGCGACAATAAAAAAAATGTACAAAAGACGGACAAATTATTCCCCCACCAAAGGGCGATATTTAGGTCAGTCTCAGTTATCAGATGATTATTCTGCTTATTATTTCTATTGTATTCAATAATATCAATAATATGTCTTTGCCATTACAATTCATCAAATGAAATAATTCAAATTTTTGTTCATAATCAAAGAATAATTGTTATCACAATATAATTCGACGATTAGAAAAATTTCCTCAGAGTGAAACGTCTGGAAACATTTTGCTGGAAATCATATAAATTCGTTTAATTATTAATCAATCATTCGGGTTTATAAAAAAATTATTGAACTGAAGAGATATTAAATGGATTGAATGAAAATGAAAAAAAAAAATTCATATGGTTCATCGAGGATTTGAATCTGGAAGATGCAAACGGTTAACTATTTCAATATCAACTGGTCAAATTTCTCTAATAATTTCAATCCACTAAGACGCATATTGTCAATTGATTAGTAAAGAAACAAAAATATTGATAATATCCGATTTGTTTGAACAATTGAAGCTGTTGTGATCGATTACAGTCATGAATTTGGGCAGAATAAGGGCGACAATTCTTTGGCGCGTCGAGGCCTATTGTAAAAATGAAAAGAATAAGGAAAAATGGGAAAATGGGAAATAAAAACAGTTGGGATGGGTGGGAGGCTGTGTGCAAGGTAAAAGAGGGGCAGGGCGAGGTTAGGGCGAGGAAGAACGATCAATACTCGTGCACCGGGAAAACTCTGTCAGCCGCATCCCATAAGAGGGTCGCCGTGGAATTCACTGCCCTTTTGATTCCCAAATGTCAACGGAAATATTGTATCAAATCCACAATTTTCCACGATCTTTCTGCTTTTTTTCACGATACCCGTCGGTCTATTGCAACTTTTTGTGAAATTTCAACATTTTCATGTTCTGATCTAATCGAAAATTTAAAAAATATATTGAATATATATGTTATTATGGACGCGTCATGTATATTTATTTATATTTCTTCATCTTCAGCTTAACTTGTCAATATAGTTTCTGATAAAACTGAGATAGGGGGCGTTATTTTCGTAATTCTCGAGCAAAAAATTCGTTTGTTTCACCGGTACCGTAAAATTTGTGCGATACATCTGGAAATAGTATTTTCTGACACATGGGATTCCAATATTAGCTTTTGGTTCAACCGTTAATCCTCACGGGCACAAAGAACTTTATGATACAAGTCAAAGAAAAAATACTTTGCACGCACTGTGCAAGAAACTCTCGTTTCCCCACGAGTATCATAACATTTTGTACGATATCCATCAAAAAAAGGACTTTTCCTCACACGTAATTGTAGTCTCAATCTATAATTCTCGCATTCATTAAAGTACATCATAATACTAGTGAAAAAAAATCACTTTTTTCACGATCGGTGCAAGAAACTCACGCTTTCTCACGGGTAGCATAAAGTGTTGTACGATACGCAATATCACTTTACGGTACAAGTCATAGAAAATACTCTATGACGAGTGTATGATCACACTCATTGAAAAGTATTTTTTTTTTTCACGCGCATCATTAAAAATTTTATGATAACCCGTTAAAAAATGTGAGTTGTTTGCACAGGAAACGATTTGTATCATAAAAAAAATGACTTTGTGATACGTGTAATTACACAAATTGGCACTCGTAGAAGAGTACTTTTTTCACTTGTCCCGTGATACACTATTTTCTCAGTGCCTGCACAATCCTCTGTCTCTGTCTCATTCTATCTCTTTCAGTGTGTTTCTCTCTCTCCCCGGCTCGTACGTCGTCGTGACGTAGGTTATAGTGGGTAGAATGACGTCACAAATCGATAAACTCCGTTCCCATTCGTCGTACTACGCCACCCTCTGGGCGCCAATCCTGCAGCACTCCATGCTCCATTTTCCCTCCCTAGGTGAATCAAAAAAAAAAAAGCATCACCCCAAAATCTCTACCCCATTTCGAATATTATATGGAGTCACGTAACACGTAACGTCGATAATACAAGAGAGAGGTGAAAGTAGTGGAGGACCACCTTTGAGTCGCCATTCAGTCTGGGTCATCGCGTGCCAACATTAACGGATATACTTCCACCATTTGAAGCCTAAATCTGCGGTATATATATCGAAATTACCTGAATTTACCTGGAAATGAGACAAATAATAGATCAATGTAGATGCGAGCGCCCAGCTTTTGTGCACTAAGAGAAATATTTTGTAAAATTTTGTAAATCTATTTGTTTGCTTGCGACCGCAAATCCTTGTTTTTACTCAATTACATCTGAAACAATGAGAAATATTTTTGAAATGAGTAACTATTCGATTAATTTAATCTTTTGATAAATTCGCGCCAATTTACTGTTTTTTAATCAATACGTTGTAAAAACAAATAAATGTACTTTTAATCACATAGTTATATAATATCGAAAAAGAAAAATGAACTATTTAATTGAATTCTATGATATTAATTCTCTCAATATACAAATTAAAATAATTAGTTGAGTTAGAATTCAACTCCAAAATTTTAATTAGTTGTTTTAAACGAATTTATTCAATGCTATATTTACCACTCGCAATCACTTCTGTGCATGCGAATATTCATTAATTTCATTTGTTAGTTTCAAAACATTTTTTTTTTAATTTACTAAATTTTTCTGTCAGTGTATTTTACGAAGGAGTTCGTAACTTGACTCTTGATGTTATGACATTTGTCGACTTGAGAATCCTGTCATTAAAAAAATGTTAAATGTTATTACAGTGTTATTGAAAATTATGTCAAAGCCACATTGTGTTTATAAAAACTGAATTATTGATGAATAACGAATGATTTTTTGTTCGAAAGAGTGATACACTGGATGTGGACAATTCTCGAGGAATTTTGGCGGGGATAATTTTTGTTGGAGAATATTCACAGAATAATTAAGACCGGAAATCTCTTTTATTGGAACCGACGTTATCCTTAATAACTAATATACTTAAAAACACATTGAATAAGTGAATAAAATAAAGGAATTTCAATTTGCTTTATTCTTTTCTAATTGAACTATGCTCAGAAGACACATCCGCTTCTTACCAATTCCAAAGCGGAACTAACTAATTTTACAAAAGTACACAATACCCTGGGCCTCTGGTGACGTGTCCTCAATAGATCCTATTCATTCGTCTTTATTTGGTCGAAAAATTCAAGCATAAACATCATGTCTGACACTTGTCAGAATTACTGTCAATAGAAACATTTATTAAATTCAAGCCTAAACGAAACAAATATAAAATTAATTTTGACTTATTGTTAATTGTTGAATAAACCGACGATTGAATGAGGTTTGATTAAATGTTTCACGAATGAGGCCACCGAGAGGTTCAAGGTGGGAGGATGAGGCAGCTAGACAGGGACTATTGATCCATCAGCCTCTCTGCAGGCCTCGTGTTGTCTTATATATAACAAACCCGAGGGACAGCCCTCAATTCACTTTTATGCAATATTATCTCTCTCTCTAAACAATTCCAAACGTTCGTACTATTTATATTCTTGTATTTTCGCCCCTAATGGAAGGGTGGGTAATTATGACCTCAGGAGTTCAGGTGGGTCATCGATAGGTCAAATGATGATTTGTTATTTTTACCTAACTGTGAATTAAAATATTACAAGTACCTTGAAAATTTATTCAAAAGTTGCAGTAGGGCAAGAGAACCTGAAGTAATCGAGAAAAAAACCACAAAAAGGATATAAAAAGGATATGAAACAAAAAAGATTTCGATACAATCGGTAATGTGTAAAAATTGCTCAAGTACCTTGAAAATTTTTTTAATTAAAATATTTTTTTTATTAAAATATTCATTCAATTTTTATTTCGATTAAATTCATATTTCAGGCTCATTAAATAATTACTAAAGAAGATAATGACATAAAAGTAAAATTCACACAATTGAAATAGCCAGATGTCAAACAGACAACGTCTACAATTGTCATGACCCAAACATATTACGCTTTAATTAATTACAATCATTAACAATAATTTTAATAATTTCATTTGATTTTAACACCGATTCTGTGATTTATTGTCGGAAAATCCGTCGCACTTTGCCCTCGTGATTTCCAAATCCGCATAATCTAGGGAGAGTAATATCTTTCTATTTTATTATAGGACTCGATTCGTGATTGATTTTTAAGAATTTTACTTTATTTAAGGATTCGATATAATTCAAGCTAGGTTGATAATTTCCGATGTAGCTTAAAAGGCGACCCTGGCCTCCGATTCGTCCAAAGACCTGAACATGCCCTTCGTCTATGAAATCGGTCCACATGTCGGGTTGTTTAGGGCATAAACAGTCTAAGTGTCTCGTTGTTTCCTGTGATTTGTTACAACGGATCGCCTGTTGGTGTCACAAATATTTCCAACCGAAATCTGGCACTCGTTTGTTTGCAACAAACTTATCGGTAAATATGTCATTGTTTTGGAGTATTCTGAATGCCTCTGAATAACTTTAAAAAAGTGGTGTAATATTTCGTTGTATCGGATACAAAGAAAAGACGAGTGTTCGATACCCCCGGGTAGCGTCGGGCCCAAAACAAGGACCCCACAGGGCGAACAGACAGGGTCAGGGGACAATTAGTCGATCGAGCCTTGACCTGCCAATCGGCCACATTCCGTTGACAATTCTCTGTCATTAATACATTTTACGTAGACCATTGTCCCGTGATTCTTAACCTTGTATTTGAGTTTATTAAATTAGATTCTTCTCGTAAGGATGTTCTGCCCCTTTTTAGCCGAGATCGCCAGTTTTTTGAGTTTTCTGAGAAATTGTTAATTGGATTAACGCGAAAAAAATGCCATTTTCAAATTTTATTATTATTTAATGACTGCCAAAATGTCATGATCGTGCGATAATGATAAAATAGAAAACCGGAGTATCTTTTGGGGGGATCGATCAACATTGTGTGAGAAAACTCAAAAATCCGGTAATTTTGACTGAAAGGGGTGAGAAAGTTCTTAAATATTTTGAATAATTTACGTAGTGAATGATGAAAAGAATAATTTAATGTACGAAGTAATGAGAATATGGCAGTTGTATTTGGTTGACATTGGATGTGAGAGTGGGATAAAAGAGGGCGTGGGCAAGACGGGATGCACGGGTCGTCGTCCTGAGGGTCGAACGAGAGGGAAGGAGGAAGGAAGGAAATACTTGTCAGACGACAGGGGACTAGGGACCTCTCAGCAACTCTGAGGCCGATGGTAGGTGGGGCAGACTGCCTACAGACGGGGAGAATGAGTTCAAATACCTCGGAAGAAACCGCCGCGGAAATCTCAGTCCTAACGTGTGACTAATCGTACACGAGGATAAGGCGTACGTTTTTTCTTCTAATCGTTTTTACGAGCCGATACTTATGATTTTTATAACCTATCCCACCTAACAAGAGATTTCCAGAGAAGACGCTTGTAAATAATTTTTTTTTCACAGCATTACGTTTTTTTTATTCTCATGCTGTTCTCAGAATTAAAATCAGTTGAATTTAGATGGTGATGGGATTTTTATGGGATTATAAAATTGAGGGGAAACATTTTATTGGTGGTCATTAGGAAAAACGCTGGGGAAAGGATTCCCGCCAAATGAGCGCTCCTTTCCCGCCGTTATGCGCGCGCACCATTGCGTGGCCATTTTGTCTCTGAGCGCACAGAGCGTTACTTCAAGGACCGGCTATACGCGTACATGAACAACGTACCTTTTCGCATCGCCACCCATCGCTATGTATCCAATTCGCATGTGCTCGCTGAGAAAAATATATATATTTACGCCAAGAATGTGATATTTCTATCTTTACAGCGTTTTTACCACAAGAAATTTTCTTTTTTGAAAGTATTGTAGGAAAATTAATATCTCCTATTATCTTATTATATGACTCGATCTTTTATTTATTTTTAACGATTTTAGCTTAGCTAAGAATTCGACATAATTCTAGCTAGCTTGATAATGTCCGATTTTGCTTGCTCGAGAGTTCGGTTACCACTGCCTCTGGCCACCGGTTGGTCCAGGGTGTGAGGTCTGCCTCAAAGACCCTTTGTCTATTAGGTCAGTCCACGTGCTAGGTTGTCTAGGACCTAAACATAGCCTAAGTATTTCGTTATTCCTTGTTACCTGTTATAACGGCTCACCAGTTCATGTTACGAATGTTCGACACCCATAAATCATTAAAATTCTCGCTTAAAATTTTTTTTTAGCAAATTATCGATGGAATTGATGTAAAAAAAAATAACATTTTAGAGCTTTGTCATTATTTAATGGCTCACGACATTTTTTGGTGACGCGATTATTTTCATGCATTTTCTCTAAGGTTTTATGATTATTTTTAAAAGTTGATAAAAACCGCAGGAAATTATTCGTACCACTTTGAAATTTCGTCAGTCGTTAAAAAATGATAAAACTCCAATTTTTTTTACATAAATCCCATAGTAAGTTTGCCGGAAAATGAAAATAAAACGTTAATTTCGGCTTATTTAATTAAATTAATTAATTAGTTAATTTTTTCTATATAGTAGATGGGAAATTTGTATAGCTTTCCACACTTTTGTGACGTCAAAGGAGTCGTCGAATAGAATTGGGATTACGTAGGAAGGGGAACAGGATAATTCTCGGTATAATTTTTACAAGAAAAATTCCTGAGAAAATGCATAGTCCAGACGAACTTTCGGCTGTGACGCGATACATGACTTTTGGTCGGGCGTGGTGGCGGACCATTTCTCCGGATTTGTCGGAGGTAGAGTGGATAGTCCAGACCGGGATTTGAACCCGGGACCTTCCGATTTTATGTATCGGGTGTTCTCCCGAGTTATCCGGCTCCTAGCCATTTCTTCATTTCAATTTTCTTGTATATATGGGGCACCACATTTTCATACGGCAATCATTTTTTTTCCACATAGTAGACGGGAAATTTATATAGCGTTCCACATCTAACCAACATAATGTCGAAAATATTGCCAACAGTATTTCGTCAAATTCGCCATTCTCAGATTCCCCACATCCATTTTCAGACATGAATAGTTCAGGTTGAACTATGAGATTATTATTTACCAAATTACATTAAATAAACTTCAACAACCGATCATTCATATTTGGAATTATTCCAAATGATTCAACCTGTCAAGAGAATGTTCAATTGGGAAAATTGGAAAATAATGAAGGGCTTTTCGACAAGGTCATATATGGGTTAATCAAATTGTTTAATATAAGTTTAATGATGAGACCTGGACTTCCCTGGAGAAATATTTTCCAAAATAGTATATTACACTACAAGGG